GTTCCAAGTTTTGTGGAGATAGACGCTTATAAGGCTATCAGAAAACAAGTCCAGTTGTCCGTGCCGCCAAGGAGATCTCTTCAGTACCTGCATTCTTGTTTCTGCAAGTTGGTTCTGTTAGCAACCCATCCCTAACCCACAACCCTAAACCCAAAATTTGAAATTGGAAGCCATAGTCCCACAGCCTGTGCAGTTTTTGTTTCTGCTGGGAGGTGAAGGATATCTACTACAATGCCAGCCCAGCTGTTCTGTATGAGCAGGCGCTGCGGCACGAGGAAGGCGACTTCGCACAAGTTAGGGGTCAAGGGTTAAAGATTAAGGCTTCCGTGGAGCTTGGGGTTCAGGGATTAGAGACGCTTATAGAGAGAGAGAGAGAGGGAGAGAGAGATATGTATGTGCATATATATATGTATCATGGCTCTACTAGTAAGCTGTAGGGTCCATCAGCCCATGCTGGTAGGAGTTGTGCAGGGGATATGTAGGGTTGATGTTGGGCTTGTGGAGGGGTTCTAAGCCCTATAGCCTAACCTTTAAACGAGTATGCGAGGTTTAGTGAAGGCAATAAGGCTAGGTTTTCCATTAGGAGTATACAAGGTTAAGTTTTTGCAGTCCCTAAACCCTAAAGCCTAAACCCTAAACCCTAAACCCCAAGTTCATGTTTGGGCTTCCTTACTTCGGGGTCCCATACTGGGTGTCCCCGTAGTAAGGATCTCAAAGTCTGTTGAGGTCCAATGCTGAGGGCCCTTAGTTTTCGAAGCTACCTCAGACACCTGATTGATAAGCCCCCTACCCTTCATAGGGATTATAATAGGGATCGTAATTTTTAGGCTCTTAAAAGAAGGGGTTTATTAATCATGGGTCTACATTACCATGTAAGTCAGCTAGGAATAGAAGTGGGCAAGGACCTCGATGTCACAGTGGATGTATGCCCTCAGGACGCTCATCCCTAGGACATGCACTTCGCTGTATGACCCAAATCCTATATGCATGCGGCTTTCCCAAAATCAGGATGCCTTTTTTGGGGGCACCTGTCATGGCATTGGGGTCCCCTCATTTTGGGAAACTACCGTCAAACTTTAAATCCGGCCCCTGAACACCTATACCCTTGACCTCATAAACTCTAGCAACGAAATCTTTTACCCTGAGCCGCAAACCTTAAACTCCAAATCCGAGAAGCAAACCCCCCAACCCTAAACCTAAACCCCCATCCTAAACCCAAAGTTCCCAACCCTGAACCCTGAACCCTAAACCCCCGACCGTAAGCCTCACATCCTAAGCCATTAGGCTTTAAACCATAGACCCCGTCCCTTAAGCCAAAGGAAGCTTCATTACGGCCTCGGGTGCTCTCTCGGTGACAAGCGGGAAGAAGACGGGTCGGTCTCCCAAGGACTGGGCCACGACGAGGTTTAAGGTTTCGGGTTTAGGGTTAAGGGCGCGCAGCTTTAGGGTGTTTCGTCGGTGGTAGAACCGAAGAGAAACATATCCTTCCAGAATACAAGCAAAAGAATAATGTCATTATATTTTAGTTTTGCGGGACGAGTATCCCCCCGTTCCCAATGATTCTATTCAGATGGTGCTGGTTTGCCAGTGTATACACATACATCAAGTCTAGTTAAAAGCGGCTTGGCATGGAGATCACGTAGGGCTTGCAGAGGGGTCATGTGAGTAGTAATTTATTAGGGGATATTACTGTACCCATTATAGAGTAAGATTATATCCTCCTTTTGGGGTATAGTATCTTATATAAGGAATAAAATCTTACTNNCCACCAACAAAAACGCTACTCATGTGGGGATTGCGAGTTGCGGGGTTTCACCAGTTTCTGGGTCCGGTTTCACATGTCCTTCTATCAGGATAGCGGGTTGGATGTCAAGGATTTGAAGGTAAGTGTCGGCGTCTCTGGGGTGTTGGTATCTCCAGGGTTTAGGGTTTAGGG